TTCCCCTTGGCTTCTCAATTCTTAGAGCACGACTCAAGAGGAATCAGTGAAATTAAAGGAATCAGACTGGAGAGTTTTCTAAGTCCTACAGGCTCCCCTGTGTCCTAATTATTACGTCAGTCTTGTAATGAGTGCCAGATCTATTTTATTTGTACACGTAAATAAAATGTAAATCCATCGTTCCAGCAAGACGTTATACTTCAGTTAGCAAGTGGCAGTAGCAGGTTAATTCCATTCTAAGTAAAAACCTCATGAAAAATTAAGAATTAGAATGGTTAATTGAGAATGAATAACTAATGAATAACTTAATGAATAACTAATTGTACTCACCACCCAGGCCAGTGGCAACTGCTAGGATTACTACAAAGAATAAAGCACAGACGTATGGAAGGTATTTGGGGGAGGTTAATACTTGGCACATCGAAGGTGGTTCAATATCCCCTAGGAACCAAACAGAGATAACAGCTTCTATGAAGTTTAAACAGCTGGAGTTTGCAGTGAAAAGATTTTTCTAACATTAAGCTAGATGAAGCAGCAACTGCTGCATGCAATTCACAGTCATTCCTGTCCATGACATCTCCTGACCCTTGCCTGTACCATATCTGTGGTCCCAGTGCTCCCTCCAGCAGCAACCCCAGCTGCATGGTGCTCTGAGCGCAGTGTACAACCCCATGCAGCAGCTCCACTCTTACAGTGCTGTGGGAACACTCCTGTCAGGGAGGAAGAGGTGCTAAAGCTTTGAACGTGAGCAGGAATATTGGAAAGACAACATCTGTTAACAAATAGCATTCAAGGCAAGAAGGAAGAAAGTTTTGGACTTTGAAGAAGAGTTAATTGAAAACAGTAGAAAGCAAAAAACCATGGGACCTCCAAATTAGACGATAGCTTGAAAAAGTGTCAAAAAATGTGATCTGGAGGAAATTTTACTATAAAGGCAAGGAAAGAACCAAGTAATAGCTCTGTGCTGAGATTCAGTTTTCAAGGAAAAAGAGGCGTCTGAAGTTAAAATAGACACCAGCAGGAACTGCTGAATGCATTTCGTGAGCAGGAATGATCCTGTTCACCTCTGTAGCTGACCTCAACTTGGTAGCATTGTGATTCAGAGAAAAAAAAAACAATGGATCCCATTGAAAATAATGAATGATTCACTTGTGACAAACATATTCTGACATACAGAATGCAAAGTATGGGAAAATAGCCTACACAGCTTTCTCATGTATATACACAAGAGCTGGTAGAACCTTGTTGTCAATTTTAATCCATGCAGCTCTTAACCCCCTTCTTCAAGATTTGAATCTAAGATTAGCAGGAACTTAGAACCAGTCAAGGATGCTGAGTGTATCCCAGTGCTCATAGAATCACAGGTAAATCCCAACCCTCCCAAACCCTCCCTAAAGCTACTGAGCAACTGATTTTGACAATGGAGTTGGTGTCTGATATCCAAAATTTTACACAGCTGCAGTTAGTATATTTGCCATGAAACCTAAGGGAAGTAACCAACATGTTTGCTATTCCTCCTATAGATTGTTATATTGTGCATTCAGGTTTTTTTTTTAATGGGCTGAATTTCCAGTTTGGAAAAATTTCAAATAAGCCAATGAAAACAATGTCAGAAAAGCATGGGCAAATATCTGCTATGTGACAGAAGTGTGTGGATAATCTGTCTATAAAAAATGCTTGTGCATGCAAGCACAAGACAGAAGATGTCATCGCCTGCTGATATGGTGGCAAATCTCACGGCTGGGGGAGTGAAGTTGTGTTTCTTGTTCCTCCGAGTAATTGCTTTCTCTGAATGTGTGGGCAAGCTAATTAGCTGTTCAGATTACAAAGGTCAAAACGCTATGCAGCATCCCTACCAGATCCATCTGCACTGGGATCAACTCTCACTTGTATGCTGAAAAATCTTTTGAAGGAGAACTGAATTTCTGGTACTGGCGGTCCATCTTCTGTAATAGAGATGATTTCAAGACTTCCAGTAGTGGAATTTGCCCCTTGAGCCTGGCTCAACAGAAGAAATAATGAGACAATATTTAAGCAAATTATTTCTATTACCTCAAAAAATCTGACACTCTTCTTCTGATATGAAAGGATATTTTCTTCCTACTTCCATTGATAATTCTTCTTCCATGCAATGCAGATAAAAAATGAATCTGCAGACACACCTGCAAGAATACTACGTTTGCCCAAAATAAACCATTTCTTCATGATAAAAGAAACCATACTTCATGAGAGAAGCTCTTGCAATTAACTAACCAGCAACTACAGAAGTTAAATGATTTTCAGGTTTGTCTAAGCACGCGCAATAACTGTAGTTGACGACTGCGACAAATAATTGACTTTTTTTTTTCCCTTCATTTTCAACCTAACCTCTGTGAGGTGCTCTCTTTAATTGCAATCAGAAACAAGAGAGACGGAGAAGCACATTACATCTGTACAGTACCTGGCAGCAACCTCATGCTTGGGCAGAATGAATTTTAGCCCAGAAAACCCTTAATCTCTTCTCATACAGTGGAGAATTATTAAAACGGGCCACACCAGAACTCAAGGTAAGCCGCTTCAAAATTCTGTTTTCTAGCTTTAGTTCCAAGCACTATCAGTGACAAAAGGTATCAGGTTTTTGACCTCATGATGGTGTGAAATAGGTCCAGGATTGCTAAAGACAGTGGAGTTTGTAAGGTGTAAAAGCAGCACAAGTGCTTTTCAAAGCAGTCCCAGAAAATATTTATAGTGACACATTTTAGGCAAAGTGTATGTGTTTTGTTGGTGGCACTAATCTCTAACCACCAGGAATATCTCTTCACTTTTCAGCAGAGTTACAACGAGGTTTTGATAAAGTCCAATTTCCATTTCAATGACCATAAATTAAATTTCATATGTAGCCCACTGATTTTAAGGCAGATAAAAGGATGGTGTGCTGTATATGATTTTTAAGTATTTTTAATACTCTTCTACCCTTAAAATCCTCCTAACTGGTGCATAAGTTGTTCATCTGTAAGTAAAACAGCATTGAGAAGTATAAACGACATGAGAGATAAACATAGACACGTCTTCTTTAGAGGACACGCGCCCTCCCAAAGCTTCACTCACCTCTTCCTGAGAAGTCATAGTTAAAAGCAAAACTGTTTTCTCTCTTCATCATCAAAAGAAGCCAAAAGGAAGTCCTGAGGTTGCTAAGCCAGCCCACTCTGAGAGGTTTCCCAAGCCCCCTGGGCCACCCGTTCAGCCACTGGTCACAGGCAGCTTTGTGGAGATGGCTGTGAAATCCAACCTGGGGATGGATATCAGGTAGCTTCGGATGGCATGGCTACGGAAAGGGGGGAGATAAAAATTCAGCACGTGTTTTAATCATCCTAAGAGCGTAAAGTAATATTGCAGTATTTGCAAACCTTTCTGTAACCTTCCATGGGAAGAAATACTGCTGAAGTTAAACCATGCAGGCTCGTGCTTGCTCATCTTTCATCAAAAACTGTGTAGTGGAGGAGTCTGCCTGCAGCCCTGAGTGGCAGCAGGGAGAGGCCCAGGTGTTTCTTCATGTTGTCACACAGAGCCCTTGGATGATGCTGCTCCTTCTTCACTTCCTTACCCTTTGCTGTGTGCTCATAGCAGACAGCACATTTAAACCGGGGTTCTGGGGAAAAAAAAAACACACACACATATGTTAATTGTGGATAACTTCCATTATCAGACATCGCACAATCTTTTGGAAATGCTTTGCAAGTGGTAACTCATTCCTGAAAACAGTGTGCCTGTACTGAGAGTGTTGTATCAGCTTATTTGTAGTCTGGTTTTAGAAAATGAAAATGTATGTTCAGCTTTGCAAAACACTCAAAAGTAGTCCTAATTCAGCTTGCGGTTTTTCAGTAAATAGAGAGATGTTGCCAAAGGGAGGGTGGAGGGAAGAAGGAGAAAGAGAGCTAAAGTAAAAGCTAGTGGTAGTGTAAGTGAAACAAGAGTCCTTAGAGACCATGGAAGAAAAGAAGGCTTTCCATGAAAACACTTCTCTGGATCTTCCTGCAGTGAGGGAAACTCAGTCCCTTCACTGTGCAGGATGCAAGCTGGCACTTACAAAGGACAGAGCACAACATCACCTTCTTGTTTACTGCTCGCATCTAGGTTGTGCCTTTTGGGTTGCTTGAGTGCTCTCCTCACCAGGCTTCAGAGGTAAAGACTGGGAGAGGCAGCCCAGAGTGCTGAGTTGCCCCAAGGTGAACTTCAGCCAAGAAGGAGATAGTGATGGCTTTTTTCTTGAGACCAGCAGCTCTAGAGACCCTTTCATTCCCATACTTCCTGGATAACAATGGTACCATCAGCAAAGATAGCCCAGGCTGGGGAAAGCTGCCTCTGCCATTTTGCCTGCTCTGACCACCCTGGATGTCCTGCGGATGGGCCAGATCCAATTTTTGAAGTCTCCATTAGTAGAACAGCACTGTCTGGAAGCACAGGCCTCAATGAGCTGCCTCTCTGAACTGCTCCAAGCACAGACCCAGGGCATTGTGTCTAGATGGGGTGCCTGGTTTGTCTTTGAACAGTTGGTCAGCTGGTGGACTATGGCTGTGGCCATAAAGGGGTCCAAGTACAGCTGAAACTGGAGAATATGAATGTTGAGCCCAAGAGGAATGAGTTCAGCCTACAAAATAACTTCTTATATGATGCAGGAGGTCCCCTCCCTCTCCAATAGAAGCTCAGATGGATTTCTTGGCTTCCAGAAGATAATTTAAAATGAAGATCCAGTCTCAGACTGTTCAGCAAGTCCACCCTGACTCTTACATTTTCCCTTGGACAGTGCGTCTTGTTCTACTAGGGCAGATGGGAACAGCCTGCAGATTTGCTTTTTTAACTGCTTTAAAACAAAAACTCAAAGACGCGCAGGTTATGAAAACAGGATGTCAGCTTTTGTCAGAGAAGATCACAAGAAGTTTGAGGGTTTTTTTATTCTAGCTGCCTCTTTCTCTTTCTTTCTCTCTCATTTTCTTGCTCCCTCCCTCCTCCCCCTCCTAATTTCTGTCAGCACCGAGCACAGCTTGAGGGAGAGAAGAGGATGGCGGTGGCTGAGACGCAGCTGTATGCAAAGGTGTCCAACAAACACAGGAGCAAAAGCCCCTCTGCACTCCTGGAGTCTCTCCTGGCCAAAGGATTCCCAGCTCACATTGCGTGAGTAATGTTTTCAGCTACTTTTGTACAGTGATAGGTATTTCTTGTATCTACTTAAATGCAGACAGTGTGCATTTTCCATCAAGAGAACGAGATGCTTCTTGGGGATGATGTCTCCATAGGAGGAGCAGGTCTGTCTCACTTTGGATACCTTGTAGAGCACTGTGTATTGATCTTATTGCTAAAAAAACTTGTTCTGTATCCATTTCTAAAACTATTCTGTATATTTGAAGACACGCTTTTCTGTACCTGGAGTTTGAGAGACTTCACAATGAGTTAAGTTGATATGTATAGTTCACTCTCGGGATGAATCCTTTCATTTTTTTCTACTTACCACTGCTATTACAATGGAAGTAAATGTGGATGTAGCATCTGTACAAAGATTTTTTCAGGCCTGGCAAAAAAAAAAGTGCTTGCTGGGTTTTGTCACAGGAGACTGTTTTAAAAGGGTAAGCTTTCATTAACAAGATGCCACATGAGTCTGTCCCTTTTTCTTTCTGTCCTGAATATGAATCTTGTTTCAAAAGCGCATCCTTCCTGGAAAATGTCAGGCCCTGTCCTTGGCAGCTCCATCTGAGGGAGGATGAACTGGTGGCAGCACTTCCAATTGAGTTAATAAAAACTCAATTACTTGAGTTAATAAAAACTTGTTAATAAAAACTTGTTAATAAAAACTCAGTTACTTGGTGGTGACTCCTTCCCCAGATATGGCTCTGGTCAGAAAAAGACGATTGGAGGTTCTACAGAGCATCAACAAATTTCTGAAGGGAAAATCTGGACTCTGTGGTGGCAGGCAGTTGTGCCATGGACTTATGACTGAAGAAAATAAGTCCTTTCATTAGAATGTCAGGGGAGTACTCACATAAGTGTTTGGAAAAGGACATCAGTATCTCTGTAACCTCCATTTTGATTCTAGATTGAAAATTAAGCAAGTTGATCAGGCTCCATTTTTCAGGAACACCTGGTGCTTGGTGAAGCATCTTTAGATGTGATGCGCACAGTTTACAGGGAAGCTGTGGGTTCATTATTCCTGATTATGTCCAGTGGAATTTTAGCTGTGGAGCTTAAAATCTGTCTTGTCATTTCTCTAGTAGATAATATTAGTATGGTCACTCCAAACTGAGGTCTAATTTTTATTCTGTGTTTTATGTTCTCCAAATTGCTTTCAAAACATTCTCCCCAATGATTGACGAGGCTTTGTGCTTTCTAGGTCAAAATCAACAGATGGTGGACAAAGTGCAAAGCAGTCAACATAAAATGGCAAAAAAAATCCAAAAGCACTTTATTTTTTTGTTTGTTTTTCCTTACAGACTTTAACACATTGAAAATTTGGACTGTAGTTTATGAAACTTCTTAGTTGTTTCTGTAAGTCCTGGCTTCAAACATTGATGAAGGTTCTGAAAAATTGCTTGTCTGTGACATCCTGGCCTATAAAAAATAAGGCTCGTTGGAAATATTATAAAATCTTTCATAATATAGGACCAGCATGCAAAAGCAACATTTTTAGAAAGAACAAAACACAAATACTTGAGCAAGTGAGCGTAATGAATACCTCATGCTTCGATAGAACAGAAATGTGATAGCTGTTTTCTGCTTTAGGGAAGAACCAGCTTATTCTCCCCTATAAATACATTACTTTTAATTCAAATTTTAAATGATTCATTCCTACTGTTTATCTGAAAGTATTAGGCATGTATAGAATTTATCGTATACATTATCTTTCAACCTCCTTGGAAGCACAGGAAGTCTAATTACAGCCTAACATTTTGCTAACACTGGGGGCTGAGAAACCCTGCTGGAAAGTATTCTACTACCAACCTATGTGATGGGATGAAAGATGGAAACAGACAGAGGAGCATGGGGGAGCAAGGAGATGATGCTGAGCATCATGACAGGCCATGGCCTCAGGTCTCCAATGGTCTTATTACTTTTATGATTGCACAGAGTCAATGTAAAGGAAAACTGCTGTCAAGCTCTGCTTGCCTTTGGGGCTGTTTACAAAGAGCTTGTTACCAAATGGGAGGAGCAGCATGGCATAAAATGATAAAACACTCACATTGAAGTGTAGCAGTAGGTGACAAAGGCTGGCAGTTCTGGCCAAGCAGCAGTAAGCATTTACATTCCAGCAGGGTATGACAGGAAAAGCTGCATGGGGAGCACAATAAAAATATAAGTTGTTCATGTTTGACGTGACAGAGAAGGGAGAATCAGCAGAGAGGCAGAAAAAAAAGGATGCAGGTCACAGGGAGGACCACAGAGGAAACAGGGTCATTTTTGACCAACTAGCTCATGGTTTTGGGATTGATATGGCCATAATCGTCAATTCTAATTTTAGAGAGGAGAAAGGTAGAAGGTAGAGCTTGAGTGAAAAGATCGAGCTAGTCTTCAGCTGTGCTGATCCTCCACTAAGAACCAAGTATGGTTGCACATGCACAAATGCACATTTCATTGTTTTTTAACAAACCCATATGTATTTTTGCATTAGAAAGAAAAGTCTGGGAAGAAGCAACCACAACAAGATTAAGACTTGCTCCTTAATGCACTCATAGCACTCTAGTACATGCACAGATGCCATGTGGATAGAGGGAGATAAAAATGTGAGGATTAGGTTAAACAGATGGATGCCCTCAGCACACAGCGGTCAGAAAAGATAACCTCAAGAAAGAAGGAAGGATAAGCAGATGTGGAGTAACTTGGTACTTTTTCTTTCATTTCTGCTGTTTCTCATTCCCCTTCATGTCACTTCTGAGAAGGTTACAGGTGGAAGGTTGACAAGGTTGCAGGGCTGGAAATGAGGTTCATGGGTGCAGGTGCTACTTAAACACAGGGAATCCTTCACCCTCCAAAAACTCAGCATTTACTCACAAAGACTCTGTCACATAAAGAATGTCAATGGCATTTTGAAAGCTCTAGCTATTCTCCTCTCTCTGGTGACCAGCAATAAAACCTGTGGGAACTGAAACAGGGGAAGGCCAGGTTGGAGGTTAGGAAAAGGTTCTTCACCAGAAGTTGGTGGGCATGGAATGGGCTGTCCTGAGCAGTGGTCACAGCCCCAAGAAGCCGGAGCTCAAGAAATATCTGCACAATGCTCTCAGACATAGGGCTTGATTTTTGGCTGGTCCTTTGTGGAGTCAGGAGTTGGACTCCATGATTGTTGTATGTCTCTTCCAACTCAGGAGATTCTATGATTCTATGAAAAGGAAATATGAACCAAATTTGATCCCAAAGATTGTCAGTTGAATAAAAGGGGGAAAAATTGAGATATTGTATGTTATCTTGGAATTAACCTGTGGCTTAGGTCTGGCTCTTTCTGGGCTATGGGAAATCTTCAGTTCAGAGTTTCAAACTCCAAATAAGTATGTTTTGCTTAGGTTATATGTGTGGACTTGAATCTGGCACTTGAATCTGGGCTTCTCATTAATTATCAACAGAGCAAACCCTGTTCTTACAATGTGTGGAGGAACAACTAAACCAACCCAAAGGATGCCCATTTAATCAGTAGGGGTGCTAAGCAAATTTCTTCAAAACACATTCTGTGGATGTTCTGTGGAAAGGGCAGATTACCAGTCTACAAGGAATTAAAGACATGCAACAGATCCAACTGCCTGGAGGGCTTCAAGAACATTAATATGTGCCAGGAATAACCTTGTCATTATAGGTTAGGTTATTATAGGTATGTATTATGCTGAAAAATAGAATTGTTTGTCACGAGTCCATTCTTCTTTATTTTATTAAAATTAAAGAAAACAATTTTAATGTTTTCTGTTATTCTGATGAATCCACTTGATTTTCATTTGGTTTGTGTGTTTTTTTTTCTAGGCAAAAAGCCTTGGTTGCTACCGGCCAAAAGTCAATAGAAGATGCTGCAAAATGGTAAGCACCTGTGATTTCTAAGGAGTGCTTTCACGTTAAAACTGACTAAAAACACTTGTTCACATACTGATTCTGTTACTCAATTTGAAGTTAACTGCTTCTAAAGACCTTGCATGTGAGTTTTGTTTGTTTGTTTTTCATTTTAAATCATCACAGAAATAGGTAATTGTATTTACAGTGATTCTGGGAAGCAAGATTATTTGTAGAAGGTCTGGGGTAAATCAAGAGCTGGGGAATAGACTCCTGGGCAGAAGAAACTACTTTTACCACAGTAATATCTCACGGGATTGGGGGACTGGCTGCTCTGGGCAGACATTTATCCTCAATTTTAAGTCTTCTTCTTAACTGTGGGCTACTCACTGCAATGGGGCTATAGTATCTGAGCCGCAATTGTGTGCATGCATGGGGCATAGCCAGACAGGCATTCAGAGCTATATCACAGTAAACATACTCCCTGCCTCAGCACAGTGCTTGTGTTTCGTGGGACCTTATGGTGCACACCCAAGGAAGCCGAGAAAAGAAGAGTAGGTGGCTCACATGCTTTCTGTGTGTGACATGTTTTGATTTCAGGTTGCACTCTCACTGCAACGATCCCTCTTTGGATGACCCCATCCCCCAGGAATATGCTCTTTATTTGTGCCCCACTGGCCACTTGTTTAACTGCCTGCAAGAGTTTTGGAAGGAGAGCAAGCGGCAGTGCGGGAAGAACAGAGCCCATGAGATTTTCCCTCACATCACACTCTGTGACTTCTTCACGGTAAGGCACAAAAAGTAACTGCTGGTGGAACTGGACAACTTGGCAAGTCCATGCCAAGAGGCTATTGCTATGGTACCACTGCTATAGAGCAGCTGCACAAAATAATTGTGTAAATCATACTATGATGTGAAATGCTGAGCATAATGAAAATACAAGCATTTTGTTGCAAAATATAGAATAGTGTGGTGCCCTGCAGCCATTTGTCACAATTATGCAAACCAAAAAACATTAATAACTAATGCTGTGTTCTTGAGAAGTGTCGAGTTTAAAGGCCTGACCCTGGAAAAGATGCCTGAATTGTAAGTCTCACCTCACACACCTCAGCTCTGTTTCAGATAGTATATTTCTAGGGATGAATGTACACCAGTGCTATTCTATGTTCCTCAGCTGTCAGTGACAGATGACCTGGGTACGTCGCATATAGGATATAAGACTCCCTGCCCTGCTCCTACCTCCCAGCCCAACCTCTTCTATTTCCTGACACCGTGCATCTCCTGCACCTGAAAGGAGCAAATAGCTCTGCTAAGGAAAAAAAAAACAAAACAGTGTGGAACTGGAACATCATTAATGTCTGTAACTTTGCCTGGATGGCACAAATTCCATCTTTTTCTATTTACTTCTTAAATTGTTTAATTGACACTTTTTGTGGAAGCATGGCTTTGTACAATCCTTTAATTTGCTGTAACTAGGGGACAAAAGATTACAAAGATTCTGAATTAACTTTCCTATGTACGTTGCTCAGTTCTTAAATTTTTTACCAGAGCAAAGAACTGTAGAATAACAATAATAAAAATTCTTACTTAGAATTGAAGAGAGAAGTCATGATCTCTAACTCATTTCAGATTACTTCAGGTGGTAAAATACCTTGCTTTATCTTCCTTCACTTAATGGTAAAAGACCTCATCTCCTCATACAGTATCAAGACACTGCTGATCAAGCTGGCAAATATTAATACATTTAATATCAGGAATTTCAGGCATGTTTATAGATGTGTTATCTTTCTAAGGAAGTAATGCCCATCCTGTTTTCGGGTGTAACTTTACAAGACAGGCTGCCTCAACAACAGGCTGTTGATCTTAGAGGGTAAAGGATGTCCTTCCTCTGTTTTCTTTCAGTGTGAAGACCAGAAAGTGGAATTACTGTATGACATCTTAAAGAGAATCTGCAACAGCTTTGCACAGAGATTTCCACCAACTATTTCCCTATCATTACACTCATCCACCAGCTACCTTGGTTTCTTTGTTGGTGACAGCCACGCAAATATCCTCAAAGAATTTGCTGTGGCCTTCTCTTCAGAGGCTTCAGCCCTAGCAGGTGGGATCAACATGAGAGGGAAAATGAGTGGGCTGTTGTGCAGACACGATAATGAAACTATCTCCCGTGTCTCCACAGCAGTGTAGCAGATGTTTTACTGCTGGCAAGCACATTTTCCTCCTACAGATTCAAAACCAATGTGGCTAGAGGAGCTTGATTTAGACTCTGAAGATATGCTGCTTTTGTCTAGGAGGTGTTTGTTGAACTCTATGAACAAGAAAAAAGAAAAATACTAGAAGTCTTCATAAATTTATTCTATTTAGTAAATCCAGGCAAAGGTTTTGCCTGGCAACATCTTTCAAACAGCAATCCCTTAAAACAATATGAGATCTTTGTTTTCTGGGCACTTACACTGTGCTGCTCATAATGGGTTTTGAAATGGCCAGAGGTTATTCCATTTTGAGCTGTTATGGAGTAATTTCTGTGGGATGAACTTTATTGGGTTTGTTGTTTTCTGGTTTTTTGTTTTTTTTTTTTTTTTTTTTGCTTTACTTTTGTTATATTGGTCCACAAGCTGAAATGTTTGTCAGTATAACTTGAGAGCCCATCAGGATTAGGATATGTAAGATAGAAAGAGATCTACTCCTAAATACCCCTAGACCTCTGTACCCAACCTCTACTCTGTCTTTTCTTCATCAGGGACCAGTGCCATGATTGTGTGAGGACAGAAACAAAAGAGAAAATACATGTTTGGAGGAAATAAACCAAATCTTAACTATACCCAGTTCTCTGTCTCACATGTAGCCTTGGGAAGACAGACCTTTCCACCTTGGGGATATTCAATTCTCCGTGGCCAGACTGAGGAGGAAGGCGGAAATGAAAAAGCAAAGAAATGCAGCCCATTGGGCCTGGGTTTTCCCTTGTGCTCACATAAGTCTGTCTCCTCCTGAATCTGAGTCACACATCTCCTTTCAGTGGTTGTGTGCCAGCTGGGGATCTCCCAGACCCGCAGCATTCTTCATCATAGCAAGGACAAGCATTTTTTACCTCACACCACCAATGGGTGAAGTGCTTTTTACATTCACAGTTGTCAGGTAATAAATACAATAAGGAAATGAAGAAGTATATTTTAAACCAAGCTTACGGAGCTAAGGAAGGGAGACCTCTATAACTTCCTAGGAGCAGACACATACTTCAGACAGTGGTGCAACAAACACCATATAAACATTTCCCATGACACTGGGAAACCTTAGACTGAAACGCTGCTGCCCTTGGATAGCATGGTCTGGGAAAGACAAATTCTATACGTCAGACTGGGAAAGGAATTCCAACAGTTTGTTTTTCCTCTCAGCTTAAGCCAAGGCTCCAATTCAGTCCAGATTTCTGAATTATTTTGGCATAAATAAAGCCATGACATCTGGTAAAACAATTATTTAATAAAACTATGGTCTATTCTTCTGCTAATTACAAAGATATTTCATGAATCATGCAAAGCATGCAGGATAAAACACAAAGAACTTTAAACGGCCTTCCCTTGTAAGTCATGATATAAGTTGGTTGCTTTATTCCTAGACTGTCACGTGAAGCCCTGCCTAAAGCAGCTCCACCTTACCTTGGCTCACAAGTTCTGTCCTCACCACCAGAAGACTTTGGAGCAACTCGCCAAATGCATTAACCCAGAGGAGACCTGCCACTGGGTAGCTGCTCTCTACTCAAGGGACATGCGTTTTGTGCATTACCAGGTACTGTCATTGGGTTTATTACATTTCTGGGTCTGTAGTTGGAATATTTCCTGCAGTCATCTTATGTGTTTTGTTTTGTTTTCTATGGGGAAAATCAGTGCATGCACAGTGCAGTGTTCAGAACGTTTGGCTGCTTCAAGTATCTCTTTGGGCTGAAAAAACTGTATTCTTGAGTCTATAGGAGATATGTTTATGGTTACCTGCTTGACCTGCATGTCAGCAAGATCCAATCCCAAACTGCAGCAGAAGAACTCATCTTACAATGAGCTATGAGAAAATAAAAGAGACAGGAAATGATGACCTTTGAACATTTCCTTGTCAAATCACTGCTCTGCAGTAAAATTCCATTCAACAGAATAAGTTTTTTTTTTTTTTTTTATTGTTCAACAATGATGAAAAAGGCACAGGTTAAACTTCAGTGAACACAGCACAGTTCTCCCTGGTCAACTTCAGTTTACCAAATTCTTAGTTTAAAACAGTCAATATTTTTCCTGTTTTCATTTCCAAATTTAAACTACAGAATGATGAATAACTGCTATTTTTTAAATCCGGACCAGTACATTGTTTTGTTTTGAATCTCATATTTTGACTTGAGAGAGCTACAAGTAATCACCGAAATAGCTGACAATCCTTTTGCTGTGCCTTCTTTCAAATATGTCACACTAATTACAGGAAAAAAAAAAAAAAAAAAAGTGATATTATGAATACCAAGTGCCTATTTTTACACTCATGCATATTCGTAGTTATCTGTCTGCTGAAGTGGCGAGTCAGAGCAAGCTGCAGTTGGGAAATGGTGCTGATGGCAGTGGCTGCCACAAGTTTAGCACATGTCCCCTGCATGCTTCTGCCCCTGCAGCCAGCTCCTGGCCTGACCCAGCTCTGTCCTTCCACCAGACACTGCGGGCTCTCTTCCAGTACAAGCCCCAGAATATTGACGAGCTCATGATCAATGCTGGGGACTTCATCTACGTCAACCCAACACAGCAGTCTGAAGTCAGCGAAGGCTGGGTCATCGGGACCTCGCACCAGAGTGGGTGCAGGGGTTTTCTTCCTGAAAACTACACAGAGAGAGCCAACGAGTCAGACACGTGGGTTAAGCACAGGTTGGTTGTGATCCACTTCACAGGTGCTGGAGGGAGTTTCTGGGCTTTCATGGCGCAGGGGTTTTGTGCAGCTGCTGTTCCTCCTTGCTGCTGGGAGAAAGCTAGAGGTGAGGTGAGCAGAGGGTACCTTGGTATCTGGGTGGGAAAATGAAATTTCTTAACAAGAAGTGATAGGACACATGCACACGGAAGCCTGAAGTCCAGCTGATCAAAGGATAGCCTGCCTGTGCTCTTGAATAATGTGAAGCACAGAATCACAGAATGATTTGGATTGGAAAGGACCCTAAAGCCACCCAGCCCCAACCCTCTGCCATGGGCAGGGCTGCCACCCATCAGATCAGGCTGCCCAGGGCCCCATCCAACCTGGCCCTTAGCACTTCCATTTCTTCTTTTGTCTCATTTCAGGAGGTAGCAAAACCAACTTGAAATTAAATGAATTAAACCATGGAAAGGTTACTCCAACACCTTGTGCTCATCCTTGCCTTGTCAATTCAACCTTTATCAGCAGGCATTTCACTGGCTTCCTGTGTAGCAAATGATTCTTCCAGATTAGATCTAATTTTTCTAAGCAAGAGGTATAGATTTTATGTGTGCTGAGCCCTTAGAGGCAGAGTGGTGACAATCAGGTATAATTTCCTGCTTGAAGCTCAGAATTCAGAATAGTTACATCCAATGCATGTCATCAGTTCATATAATTTACTCTTATTTTTACTGGACAGATTACGACCTGAACAAAGTGATAAAATGGATTGCATGTGTGTGAAATATATTGAAGAGGATATGGAATCTTGGTTGTCATATGCCTATGGACAAAATCTGGACTTAAAAATCCCTTCTGTTTTTGTGTGTGCTCATATGATGTGTGTGCACTGTTTTTGCTTTTTCTACAGGGAATATGCTTTTGTGCCAGCTTCAAAATTTTTCACCCAATCCACGAATGATCCTAATGTTAAGCTGAATGGAGAAGTCCATAATCCTGTTATGTCAAGGAGTGTAACTGATGTTCTTTCACTTCAGGTAGTTGGGATTTTATTTCTTGTCTTCACCATGTAGTTGTGCATGATATGCTATTAAGAAAAAGCATATATTAAATTTAATACTATCTTCCTGGTTCTCCTTAACATTTTTCATGTTATAATGAATATATGTAGCGTATGCATACACTGCACATACATTTACAGTACCATATCCCATAAATATTTTGTAGTATATGTAATGTGGTATTAGCCTTGCCATCTTTTACAAAACTCTCTTTTGCAGGAGCTATATGTCTTTCCACCAATTCATGTATGCTCTTTAACCCTCTTGCTTGGATCCATGGCAGAGCCACTGCTTGCCCTGAAGAACACTTTTTGTAGATGTGCACGTCTTTAATCTAAGCATTTCCCCAGCCTATGAGCTTCTCCCAGGAAGAATGTCTAGACCACAAAACCTTAAACTCTGATCTCATAGCAGTTGATTGGTGCCTTACGGCAGAAATGCAGAGTATTAGCAATATATATATATATAAATATACATAAATATGTATCTCACACCACTTCTTAAGAATTCCCTTCTCTGTTCTTGAAGATACACGTCACTAACCTTGATGTTGCAACAATAATGCTGTGATGAATTGCTTTTTAAAAAGTTTTAAAGCTTTTGAGGTATTCTTCCTTATCTTTTCCTCTCTGTATTCATTGTAAACTAACTCCTACCTACTTAGAACATGTTTGTAGCCTCATGCAGACTAAGGGAAAACAAGGCCTCAGATGAGACCTGGGCTCACTAATCACTTAGCCATACACTGTTGGAAAAATGTAAAATCTCTGTTTTCATTTGGAAAAAAAGATGAGATTGATGTTAGGAAAGAATATTATTACTTAAATCAGCTAGCTGCTTTTCCTTTTTGTTTGTACCAACTACACAATACATACTGATGTAACTCCTTCCCACAGTGGAATTAAAAGATTTATCAGTACTACCTTTCACTAGAATAAACACTGAATTTAAATCTAACCTGTAGCCCATGAAGATCAGAGATATTCTTCATTTGCTTTCAACAGAGAGCTAGTCAGGCTTATTTTTGTCCTAAATATTCTAATCCATTTTATCAATTTAATACTCTCCCCCTCTGTGGTTGTTATCTATCTCTTGGGACAGCCCTGCTGGTCCTTGCTATGTTAGACAGCATCCAGCAATTTAGACTTTCCATGCAGGTTGTATATAATATTGTAATGGAAAGTAATTTTTATATAGCTGTCTCAGAACACCAATCTGCGAAGAGGTGTGTTGGTGATGCGCCATGGAGAAAGAGTTGATCAGGTCTTTGGGAAATCTTGGCTTCAACAGTGCTTAACTGCAGATGGTGAGTAAGATAATGGGAGTTTCTGAGCAAACCTGACGCAGAACTTCTTTACCCCAGTATCAGAGTATAAGGGATACAGGCTTCTACCTGTAGATGTAAATGCTGACACAGAAGAGTGAATAATGATGCGCAGTCAGACACAACACTTCTTTGACCTGCACCTTACCATCATCATGTCATAGAATCATAGAATCCTTAGAATTGAAAAAGACCTTTAAAGCCCATCTGGTCCAACTTCCGTGCAATGAACAGGGACATCTACAGCTAGAACATGTTGCTCGGAGCCTGGTCCGACCTGGACCTTATGTCCCACTGTCTTTTATGTTTGTTTTGGATAAACACCACAGAACAAACATTTCTCTGGTACGATTGTCGCTGACAGAAGCACAAAACATAAGATCTCTACTATTAGTTATTCAGATGACCTGGTTGAGGCTTATCAGACACCTCCACTTTCTGTGTTCTTTCTCCTCCACTCCCTTCTTTTGCTCCTTTGGAGCTTGCAGAAGAGGTGTTATTTTGTTAGGACAGGTGATTTCCCAAGTCAGTGTTGTGAACTTAAAATGTGATCTCTTTGAGGTAATTAGTAGTCACTGGGATTTTTTAACAGGGCTCCAGCCTGTTTTTATTTGCCAGCAGAAATATAATTCTGGTCTGAGAATTCAAAATGAATGGAGCCATTACAACGAAAGGCAGACAGTGAATTTTGTTGCTGCCTCCCTCTCATCACAGCAAAATGTTCCACCTTGTTTTAGGAAAATACTACAGGGCAGACCTCAACTTTCCTTCCACCCTACCAAAACGGAAAGACAGTGTAAAGCATTTTGAGCATGATCCTCCTTTATCTTCCTGCGGTGTTTTCCAATCAAGACTTATAGGTAAGATGGATAATATCCTACTGCAACTATATGGGTTTGGGAAGCGATCTTTCAGCATCTGGCAGAGCTCACACTGGCCTAGTAGTAGAGAAACTTGCTAGCAGCATTGTTTGTGGTAACCATTCTGGATGGACAACTGCTGCAAGAACTTGTTAAACAGTAAAATAGAGAGAGAGGCTGGTTGTCCATCCTAGAGACCCAGTCTGCCAGTTCCTGGCCAAGATAGTTAAAAGAAGGAAACTGCAACACTACCTGTGCCCTGCTGCACATCTGCAAGAGAGTGATGTCTCATTCAATTGTCACCGAGGGAGAGGGCTGGCTGGAGGACACAGCTTCGTGGTCAGCAGACTGTGGTCAGCTTATCACAGATAAAACTGCTGGCTGGGTGATATGGGTTAGTCTGACTCAGTTCACTCACCAAACAAAGTTATTTCTGCACCCTGAGCACGCACGTCTGATGTTGACAATAGAAGTCTGGTGCAAATGCTTAGCTGCTGTTGGCAGATTTTGAGACAGTCTTCTGTAATTACCTTTCCAACGCTTGGTCCTAGCTTTTTTTACTGAAACACTTTTGCAGTAGTTTCTCACTTACGGTGATGAGTGAAACAGCACCTCACGTTGCTGTTCCCACTAGGGGAAGCTCTGCTGGACCAAGAGGTGACAGTCAGCTACATGTACTCATCGCCTGCCCTACGCTGCATACAGACAGCCCAACATGTACTACAAGGTAAGGCATAAAAAATGAAAATGTCTTTGTCAAACTGCCATCAAGTTTCTGGGGGTAGCCAGCAGGAGCAGGGAGGTGATCATCCCTCTGTATTTAGTACTGGTGTGGCCACATCTCAAATTCTGTGTTCAGATTTGGGCTCCACGCTACAAGAAAGACATCAAGGCCATAGGGCATGTCCAGAGAAGGGCAGTGGAGCTGTGAAGGATCTGGAGCACAGGTCTGATGGGGAGCAGCTGAGGGAACTGGGGTTGTTCAGTCTGGAGAAGAGGAGGCGCAGGGCAGACCTTGTTGCTCTCTACAACCACCTGAAAGGAGGTTGTGGAGAGATGGGAGCTGGCTTCTTCTCCCAGGTAAACAGTAATAGTAAGAGAAGTTATGGTGATAGTGACCTCAAGTGAGCCAGGGGAGGTACAGGTTGGATATTAGATACCATTTCTTCTCAGAAAGAGTGGTCAAGTGCTGGAATAGGCTGCCCAGGGACTAGATGATCTTTGCCGCCTTTCGGACTTTAATGATTCTGTGTACAATTCTGTGGTTATTTATTGCAAGCCAAAGGATTTTAGTTCTTTCATGCTTCAAATCTCTTTCCTTCCTCCTCTTCCATTCTCTCTTCTCCTCACTGTTCCTCACCTCTCCCCTCTAATAGATCTGTGAAGGGCTCACAGTTCATCATCATCCTTACATCTTCAGTAGGACATGTGCATTTCTTATGGGAAATGGTGCAACCCTGTAACCTCTCTTGAGAATAATAAACAAAAGAATGTATCTTTTTACAACAATTACATTAAAATTCTGCTGTAGAATGATTTATTGCCCCACAGAGTGGTCACTCTACAAAATGTTATATACAAATGGGTAAAAAAAGACATTTCCTTTATAAAGTTTATTCAGATTGAAGCATTGCTGAGGTCTTTTGCTCACTTCTGTACTTTGAAAGTATCACAAGAGAACTCCAGAAATAATAACAATAATAATAACAATATAGCTATAACATAACAAAAATGTCTCATTTTTTGTGTGTCCTAGCATTAGTCAGACAAGAATATGTTGCCTTCATTTAAACACAATCCTTTTTTTTTTTTTTTCCAACAATAAGCAGCTTATTTGGTTAATGAAAATATTACAGCAAACAAAACAGAATGTACTGCCCAAATGTGACAGTTTGAGTCTACCTTCTTCTTTTTAAGAAATACAGCTTGTCTTTGCAGGGCTTAAATTAGACCAAAAAGTCAAAATCAGAGTGGAACCAGGACTGTTTGAATGGACCAAGTGGGAAGCAAGCAGAGTAATTCCAAACTTTATGACTCTCACAGAACTGACAGAGGCTTCTTACAACATAGATACAAGTTACAGGTAATTTCTTCCTCTCTAGCTGTTAAAGCCAGTTCTTCTTCTCCTGAGGTACCTCCTCCCTCTTCATGTGTCATAAACCTTTAGGAACATTGCAAACAATGGATGATGCTAATCAAATTCAAGACTGCATGGTCTATTCCCAAAGATATGCAGTCTTCTGTCTCATGGCAAGAGTCAGCCTTGTTGCTCTAACATGGAGACAATATGGGCCTTATTAGAAATGGGCACATGGGCACACACCTGGAGCTTGCATACTGCATTAGCCTTGCTCTGGTGCTGCTTTCATGTCCATTGGGTTGAGAGAGGTGTCCCCAACACGAGCCAGCTTTCCTTGTGATCTGGAGGGTGGGTTTGGGGGGCAGCAGAACAGTTCATGCCAAACTCAGTCGAGGAGGGCGTTGTTATGTTTTGAGTTGCAGCAAGGATTTTTTTGGGGCCCCCAGAGCTGAAAAAGGGGACTGATGCTATTTCTGAGTACTTGAAAACCACAGAGGAGCAGGAAATGAATGAGCTCCAATTTACCTAGCTGCTTACTGTGCTCTCTGGGGCTGCTCCGCATGTGCAGTGCACAGCCAGCTCCAGGAAATTGCTCAGCTAATAAAAGTGAGCGTGTCTGAGGTGTCCCACTTGTGTAAGAAAGAGGGAAAGGAACTTCTCAGCTCATAATGTATTTCTTACAGCCAAGTGATCATCTTCATTTTAAACTTCGTGAAAGAATAAAATCTTTCCTATTCATGGGACATAGGTCATTCTAAACTTTTTCAACAGTTTTTTCAATATGAGATCATTTTCCTCAAATTTCCACACGGGACTGAGTGCAGGTATAGAGCAGTGGGAACTGGAGAGGAAACCTTTGCAACAGTGCCAACTGCAGCCTTACAGCTCACTCAGGTCCAGGCAAAAGCAGAGAGGATAAGCTGTAACCCTGCACATTTGATGCCACTTTCTTGCTGTCGTGTACAGGGTTCAAAATCCTCTGGTTGCAGAGGTAGTTTTACCATATTCACTCACTTCAAGGAGCAGCTTTCACCTGGGTCAAGTCCCGGACTGTTCCATCAGCAGACTTAACCTAGCCAGAATTAGTATTAGCTATGATTAACAATTTAGCATGGGCCTGCCACACGGTTTTACCACTTACTTTCTACTTCTATAGTTTGTGCTGCTGTAGTTTACCTGAAATGTATCAAGGACTCACTGGTAAAAGTACACTTTGATATCAAATCTTACTACAATATATGAATCTAAACTCTCTTCTGTCTATTCACTGAAAAAGGAGGCTAGCAAAACAGCAGGGCAGTTTTTTTGTAGAAAGAAATAAACATTCTGGATTGTGTCACAGCATGTGGCTAATCATATAATCATACTTGCCAGCCATGGCTGTGAATTTCTCTAGCTCTCAGATTCAAAGGATGATATGAAAAATAGGAAATGAGTTTGAGGAGGCTGAATTCTATTGCCAAGAAGACCTAATAAAAGCATCAACCAAGAAAAGCAAGGAGATTGTTGAGAGGCAGCAAATCACTGTTGTCCTGTTGACTATTTTGCTAGTCCCCCAGCACTGGAGAGGCTGGTAGGGCTCTCATCACTCGGAATTTGGCCTTCTCAGCTGCCTATCCTTGGCACCACCAGCCACTGTGCACCAAGACATGGTAGACTCTGCCATCTTTTTCCAAGTATGGACACAGACAGGTCAAGGAAGCTCCTGAGAAACTTTGGGATGGGTCTTAGTTTAAACAACTTCCACTGTAAACTAGGGGTTTTATTAAAGTATGGTTTTCTCTTCTTCTGGTGTTTTATGAACTACAAGATGTGGGCTTAAGTTTTAATGTGAATTGCTGAGGTATCGGTATGTCAGTCAGGTCAGTGGATAAACCCACATCCTTTTAACCAAGTGCTTCCTCTCATGTGTGCTCATTCATCTAGATGAAAACGTATTTCTGATTATATTGTCAGGGGAATCATCCCACTCTCTTCTCTGGTCCCGTCAGAAAGTTATGAGGAATATGTGAGCAGAAGCTCTGCAGTTATAAAAGAGATTGTCACTGCCTGCCCCAGCAAAGGTAAAGGTTTCAAATCTTTGTATATTCTGCAAGATACTTTCAGTATCAGGAATAGGCATGGGTTTGTCAACAGAGGCACATTTATCATTGATTATTTGTTTTGCACAGAGTTCAAGGTAGGCTTGTAGCTGTTGGCCTGTACTAAGTCAAAATAAATACAATTTACAGAACAGAAAAGAAAAATCAAACAGAAGGCAGTAAAAAATCACAAGAGTAATTTTGATCATTCTACTTATGCCTTGGGATGAAGATCAGCATCAGAAAATTGCATTTCTGGAAAGCTGTTCACTGAGCAAATACTTTTTCTCACTAGCTGCCATGTCTGCAACACATCAGACTTTTTCCGACCAGCACAGTACACTCTGCCACATTAACAAAGATGTCTGCAAAGTCAGACAACACCCTAACTACCTTTCTTTTCTTACTATGGTGTTTCAGGTGTCATCCTTATTGTGGGGCATGGCTCTTCCTTGGCATCTTTCACCCGACCTCTGATAGGACTCCCTGCCAGAGACAGCAGCGACTTTGCCCATGTAGTCCGAAAGGTAAGAAGACTTTTTATTCAGTAGGCAGCTTTCTGTATGTGTTTCTGCACTTTCAGTATCGAGTTTTCCCAGGCAGTGAGATTTGTAACGACACGTCAATACCACTGACATTAGCTCTCTCAGTACAAAAAGATCTATCTTGTGTAGTTTTAGCATAGAACTAGTGGTCAAGAGAAGAATTTTGTCCTGTTAAATAACATATTAGGAGATTTTCATTCAACACCCATGCATAATCAGTATCAGGCAGCAGCTACATGTGAGGTACGTGTGGAAACCTCTCCCTCTGGCATGAGCCTCCTAACTATAGAAGCAGGACTAAGAGCCTTCCCTCTCCTCATAGAGTTACAAGCATAAACTGCAGCTATATTCAGTGACTCTTTAAATTGTACATTTTCAGGTCACTGCAAGTTCACGGCTTAATTGCTCAGCTACAGGGCAAAGCAGAGAAGGCTTTTCTTGCCAGCTTCACAAGCGAGGCTTGCCCTTGAGACTTTGCTGAAGAGTTTTTTTGCTTGTTTTACTTGTGTATTATCACCAGTGGCAGATTTTTTCACTTCAGTTTTCCTTATCATCTGTCTCGGTATTACTAAGAGGAGGATTCAGTCTTTAGACGTGATTTTACTTCCTACAGTTGATGCATAAGGAGTGAATACATCTTGATTTTCAAATCCAAGTGTGAGCTCAAGGTGATGGCACAAACTCAGCTGTTTCACTATAGGCATCCAGCCTGTTTTCAGTTTGTTTTGAAAGTGGCAAAATGTTCCAGGCTCTATCTTCAGAATGGTCTCAGATCTGCTCTTCTGTTCTGCTGCAAAACCAAATCAATGACCCTGCTGGTAACTGCTGCTTGTATCCTTCCTTCCTAGATCCCTTCTCTGGGCATGTGTTTCTGTGAAGAGCTCAAAGAGGAGAAGAAATGGCTGATGGTTAACCCTCCAGTGAAGACATTAACTCATGGAGCAAATGCAGCATTTAACTGGAGAAATAGTATCATGGAAGGTTAGAAGGCCAGCTTTGTCCTTGCATCTGCCAAAAACAAGGTGAAGATAGCTTGTGGTACGGCACAGTCCAGCAATACATCTAGAAAAGTTAAGAGTGGATGAGAGTTGTCCTCTCTGAGTAGTCAAAGCACAGAAAGCAGTTTGGTGCCTCAACTTTGCTTTCTTCTCAGTAATTGAGGAAAAAGAACATAGGACCTGGCATACAAGAGAGCAAATTCTACTGCTAAAGGCACTCTAGTAGACATTATTACATCTTCCAAGACCAAAATATAACCAGTTCAATGCAGTAAAAATTACTTGTTTCATGCACTTCTATATATTCAGTCAGGCAGAGAAATAGAGACTGAAAAAAGCAGTCTCCTACCCGGAGATATCAGCTCTACCCAAGGCCAGTTGGTTTCCTGTTGACTCCTCCAGTTCTGCAAGAGCACAGGAGGAGGGGAAATACCATACAGACAGTATGTTTACCTCTGCTACAAAATAGGTTCATTTTCTACCACAGCAATTCTCCCACTGTTTCCAGAGTGATCAGTCTTGCAAAAAAAAAAAAAAAAAAAAGGCTTTCCTTCAGAGAAGATTGAACTGATTGCTTTAGTGTTACTGGGGCAAACAAAGATGCCCTGTGTTACTTGTACTGGTGACAAAACCTTGATTTGAGCAACTCTATCTGCTGAACACTTCCTGAGATGACACTGGCAGGATAACAACCATGCTGCGTGCTGCTCTGTGCCAAATCATATGAATTGTGACACACTGTCAGATGGGTTGTTTGACTGGTCTCCATAGCTCTTTGCTTGATTATTTGTCTGATTAAAATGTAGTGCCAACATTTTATGCACAAACAGGATTGTGCCCTTAAAGGGCAGTGTTGAGCTTTGCACTTGTGCCTATAGCCTGAGGGCACGCAAGGGGGGGCCATCCAGCACACCACACAGACACCCACCAACCTCCCTTAACAATGGCATGGAGATCTCCTGTCTCAGTCTTGCACCTGAAATCATTCATTTTGGTTTCCCAGATCCATCAGGGATGCTTGGGCTCCTGTTCTTTTAAACCGCTTTGGACACTGAAGGGTCAGGAGTAGCATGGGATGAGGACCTGGCCCTGGGCATGTTATTCCATGGTGCTTCCAGCTTCATTTCAGCTGAAGTACCAGCTCCCACTTCATTGCCCTCCCATGGGATCTTCCTATCTGTGAATGTTGTTGCTTTTGGTGAGATTTATTCTGATTTCACCAAGTGATTGCACAGGTGCCGCTGGAGAATATGTGAGGCCAGAGCTGCCACTGCAGACTGAAGCCCAAATGTAAGAGGGTGGTGTCGGGGGCTCTGGCTGGGTGTGCGTGATGGCGTTGTGTGGGCTTCTGTATTGAGCTTTTTTCTAGGAATGCAGCCTCCAGATGGAGAAATGGCCCTGTCTTAATGCATGGGAGCAGCTGTACTTTGCTGCTATTTCACACTGCTATTGTCCCTCACCTCTGACAAGTTCCCTTTTGAGCTCAAAGACAGCTTTGCAGTCTATGTCTCAAGCCTCAGCCCATCTGCAATCCCTCCTCCCTGTGTGCGAAGAAATGCAGGCAAATGGCAAGCTGGGCCTCCCTCCTCCAGCATGACAAGCTTGTGCATGGCATAAGGGGAGAGGTCTTGTGTTTGGTGACACTTCCATCTGCACTGCTTGGAGCTAAATAAAAGCCCAGGTGAGGATAAGGATGGGCAGGAGCGATGGAGCTGCTCTCAGTTCATGCGACGAGGGAAAAAGCTCACTGCTGAAATGGCACCTGTATCTTCCTTTAAAACAATAAAACACAAAACACCTCCTCTCTCTTCATCCAGCAGCATCAGATCCATTTTCTGTGTGGCTCCACTAGGAGGGTGATCTGCAGGTACAGTGTCTTCCTTTTTCTTTGAACAGTTCCCTTGTGCTTTTACCACTGCACACAACATAGTAATGAAATACTTTGCTTTTCATGCCTCTCCACCTGCAGAATGCTTCTTACAGCCAGTTTATTGCTCTCTACTCCTGATCATGTCACTAAGTTGGTAAGCACTGCTTGGCAGGGCTTTCCTTACAGGTGGGGGCATAGGGAAAGAATTCAACAAATTTATTCAGTTCTATCATGCAGAGAGCCCACAGAGCACCAAGAAACCCATCTGCAAACCAAATATGCTTGGTAGGAGTCATTAAGACATTTGCACACAGAAAAAGACAGTGTATTGTTTTTCACTACGTATGCACTCCAATAATTTTGAATTTGGTGAATGCAGCGAATTAAACCTCAGAGCATGTAGGAAAGAGGATTTGGGGACTTGTATATTTTTCTTGTGGTGTTTTCTAAACCTCACACTGCACCGCTGAGCAGAAGAGGAGAAAAGTTTTGTTGCAAAGTTTTGTTTTAGCTTATACAGATTTTATTTCAGTCATCCAAATTAACTGAACAGGCAGCAGAAGTGGCAATTGTATCCGAAGCTCAATGAAAGGGCAAGGATAAGCTCTTCTACTCACAAGTTCCCCTTTTTGGGCTTTCCTACAACCTATATGAGCATAGACTCAGCTCCAAAAAACATTTTGTAGGATCAGAGCTGCAATTATATCTTTCTTCTACAACCTACAATCTAAGAATCTACAAGGATTTGTAGTTGTAAAAACTGGTGCTTAGAAGAGAGACAGAATTCCTGATGGGATGTGTTCATCATACGAAATAAATTGCTGAATACAGGTAAAGCTTTTATTTTATTTTATTTTATTTTATTTTATTTTATTTTATTTTATTTTATTTCATTTCATTTCATTTCATTTCATTTCATTTCATTTTTTTGTAGTAAGCAAAAGAAATGGAAAATCCCTTTACAGTTTCTTGATTTTTTTCATGCAGCTTCAAAATTAAATATTACCCTATTGTAATTTTCTTTAGTTGGATCTATTTCATTACAAAGTTGTGTACTTTAACAGATAATTCTAGTAGCACATAGAAGATCTGAATGCTTTGCTTGTCTTAAAAACTGAATATGTAAATTTTGTTAAAGACGTACAGTGAAGTTAATCTCTGGTGACACCTTGTGGGAAAAGAAAACCTCAGCCTTACTGCCTACATAGGCTCTTTAGGTGTGATTGAAGGATGGGGGGAGGGGGGGGAGCAAAGCGACACCTGTTGTTTTTTAACAAGGGTGAGGAACACTAGATTAGTCACTCTTTGAAAAGACAGTAACAAAGAAATTCATCATTAATCACGATTTTAAGCACACAACTTGAAGAGACACTTGAGTCCAGTTCTTCTGAAAAACAGAAGAGCAAATCTGTGGTGTCTGTCCTGATTTTTCTGAAGCCCTTTGCCAGCACTGATATTTGTTCAAAGCAAATGTGAAAATCTGTTGACTCAGAACAGTAGTTATTTCTGTTCCCTTTGCACCATTTTAAGTCATCAAGCATTGATTAAAGCTGTCAGGTAGAATTTTTGACTGTCTTGGAGGATTTATTACTGAAATACTCTGGAGCATAAGGATAATTTTTGGAAAGATTGTATGAAGCAGTTTTTGGTGGATCTGCCCTTGATCTTTTTTTTTTTTTAATGGATGATTAAAAATTAAAATGTTCGTGCCTCTTTGGATTTGGGAACAACATAAAAGTTTTGAACAAACAGAATATTGTTCTCTGGTGCATATGAAGGAGTTAGTGAATCATCAAATTTTACAGTCCATCTTTTTGTGGAGATCTTATACCTTTCACAGAGGGTCTGTAGAGGCCAACTGACTCTAACATCTGGTTTAGGACTGTGTTCAGTACCTGTATCCTTCAGCAATATTCTGGCTTTTAATAGTAACATCAAAGCAGTTATTGTGTGAAGCTTGAGGAGCTGATAACTAGTCTTGGATTTGCAGTTCTTATTGTTTCCTGCATGTCTTGTGGAGGAAACTCCCAGTGGGTCTTGCAGCCTCACTCTTTCCCCGAGCACCGGACTTTGCTTGGGAAGCAAATTCCCAGTAATCTGCTATGTTCAAAAGTAGCTTCAGCATCTTCTGGCAGCAGCAAATGTCCATTCAACTGTTCTCTTCCATTTCTGCAGTCCACAGAATCATAGAATCACAGAATGGTTTGGCTTAGGAGGGGCCTTTAAGATTGGAACAGCATAGGCTAGTAAACCCACTAATCCATCTGCAAGGCCGTGTCTGCTGAAATAGATGTTCTCAGATCTCTTTCAGACCCTGCCAATCTGCTTTTGATATTCACACTCTTCTTACTTAAGCTTCTGTACTTCCCAAAAGGGAATCAACCATCAATATTGTTGTCTGCGTTCATTTGATAGGTTTGCTATTTAACACAAACCTTCAAATCTGTGACCCCAGTTAAGCAACGGGCCAGTTCAAGCTGAGAAAGCATTTAAAAGCTGTGGTAAAGACCCGAAACTCCCATTCTCTTTTGTGAGGGGGCAACATAGGAGCACTCTCTCCATAGTGGCCTGGGAGCAAAGATAACTGGTAGGTTCATGGGTGTTTATCTTAGAGGTCGGGCCCTATGGATGACTTATGGGTCCATGCTACACCATTTTGTACTGCCATGAGAAAATCTCAAGTTAAATAAATAACTTAGTGGCTATTTCTCCATGCTCTTTTCAGTTGGAGGGGAAAGATATTATGGACTTCTAACAGAAGAACAGAGAATTTTACTGTCCTGAGGCTGATGGGTTTGGAAAACAAGCCTGGTACCCCGGTGCCAACATTTCCCCAAAGCTGGTGTAGTTCTTAGGAATGTCTTATAGCACAAAGTCAGTGCTGAATACCCGTGTAGACATGGCCTCTGCATACTCCCATGGAGAAAACCTGTGAGAAACCTCTAGCTGGCATCTTCCTGAGCTTCCTTTACTCTTGGTAAGGAAACTCAGGATGCAGCATCTCCTACCTCTCACAAAAAATAAAAATAGGAGCATGATGATAAAGAACATTCTACCTGACTAACCCGAAGGTGCCTCCTAACGGAACTACTTGTGTAATTAAATATCTGGAGAACAAGAGCTTAAATCTGAAGCACACTGGTGCTCATATTTTGCTGGAGGGGAAAAGCAAATAGAGATGCTGGTAACATACTAGTATTTTCTAATCCACTGCAGGATTTTATGTTGCGGCTTTGTTTATGTAAATTCACCAATACAATTTTGACAGAATACGTTTAAAATATAATGACTTTATTTCTGTCTTTTGGAGCTCATTTTACCCTAACTTTTTAAGTTGCTAAAACATTGCTTCTCAGGTGTCTGCTAGGTTTCTCTTGTTACCTGTGGGCTTGAACACTGAATAAATAATACAATGCAATATAAAACACGAAGTATAACCTATTAGCAGTACCAACTTATTAAAAGTACCAGCTTACTCAAAAGAAGCTTTCTGAAGCATTGGTCTTTTTGAAAAAAAATAGCACGCCAGATGTATTTAAGAAATGGGGCTTTATGATCACACAGAACTTGTGTCAAAAGTTGTTAATTTACACTGCGGTGTTCAATTTAATATCATGTACTGTGTCACTGTACTTGAGGGAGGCTCAGAAATTGTACAGTACTTGAAAGTAACTGTGCTATTTTAAAAGCCTCTGAAGAGTCATTTGTGTAAATGCCTCTGCCAGTGAATTTGTGATTTTGTAGGTTGGCAAATGCATCATAAACAATTGCTCTCCTTCATGAATGGAGCCATACCATGTATTCTGGTTGGAAGAATAATGAATGTACTTACAAATAAAATTGCAGATTCTCTAGTTATCTGTTCTTTTGCAGGGCTGAAAGGCAAAATACCACCTTCTTTGCTGTAGTTTCACTCTTCACCTGCCCATATGGCTTAGTAGTGATTTGCACAGAGATCTTTGTGTCCGTGCCACACATGGACAAACACTCTCAGAACAATGCAGACATTTTTTCACTCTAGTTAATAATAGCATCAGTTAGCTCAGGAACAGCTTGGTACTAATGTGACTACAACTTATGGACCTTTAGCTGCTACCTGCAAAGCACTCTAGTGTTCTTGGTGAGTGTAAGAGTTTACACAGCAATGTGTGCACTTTCTATAGACATGTCCTGTTAAGTCTCTTAGGAAATCTCTTTGCTGAGCCTACAGGCTGAATAGGGAAGGCTACCAAGGACCGTTTCAAGAGGACATCACCTTTTGGGGCATATATGTGGGTAAATTGTTGCAGTCTTTTAATATTTAATAATTGAAGGGGAGATCATAAGAAAAAGAGCAAGAAATCTTTTTCAAAGGCATGTAGTAATAGAACAAGGGATAATGGTTTAAAAACAAAAGGGAGTAGATTAAGATTAGACATAAGGAAGAAATTCCTTACGAGGTGCAGGCACAGGCTGCCCAGAGAAACTGTGGATGTCCCATCACTGGCATTGCTCAAGGTCAGGTTGAACAAGTTCTTGGCAGTCTGATCTGGTGGAAGATGTCCCTGCCCATGGCAGGAGGTTGGAACTAGATGGTCCATAAGGTCTCTTCCAATTAAACCATTTTTTGTTTTGTTTTGTTTCCCCAGCTGTGAATGTAAAATAGGCATCTCTCTGAAGGAATTTAAAATATTTGCACTTTCAGGAAGTACGTGTGCTCCAGACTTTCTTGGTATGAGATGGACTTGAGAACTCCAGGTGCCTTCTTTAGCTGCAATGAGCTCTGTTGGTGAGCTTCCTTCTTCACTGTGGAAAGAATCCTATCTCTGGGGAAGAGACAGCTCTGCAAGTGAAATATGACTGTGTTTTCTGATTCTTATACTCAGCATATTATTCAGGTCTCAAACATGACTACTGTTGTCTTTCTTCATTGCTGAAAAGTGAAGAGGCAGAAGGATGAGAGGGACTAGCACACCTCAGTGCAACAACTTTTGGTCAGGTGTTTCTCTCCAAAATAGGGATGAAGGAATTACTGACTTTACAAATTATCCTTACGGTATTTTTGAAAGTTACAGTGAAATGAAATGCCTTCTTCTACAAAACCATCTTTCTTTTGGAGCCCTGTCTGACCCATAGAGGCTTCCAGATGTTTTTAGCTGTATTCTAGACAGTTTGCACTTTTCGCAGCTTTGCCACTGGAGGTCACTAATGTACTAATAAAGGTTACAGCACTGGGTGTTGAAGGGGAAAAGGTAATTTCCTAAATCCTTCAAGAATTAACTCTTCTTGAGCTGAAGATTACCTTTAAATGGAATTGAACTGGGAAATACATTATGTTGATGTTTCTCAAATTTACAGTAAAAAATAGTGAGTAAACAGCTGGTAAACTAATGATGTGTAAGTTTTTATTACAAATAAAAAATTACTAAGCCAAGTATGTTTTGATCAAACTATTGTAATAACACTGCACTTCTCCTCACCAAAGAAAGCCAAAAGAGGAAAAGGCAATCACCTCTAAAAATGCTTGCTGAAGTCACAATTATGTGAGAAGAAACTGCCAAAAAAATAAAAAAAACACATGTAAGGCACTGGGGAAAAGTTTGCATGGGAAATTTCTCACTGTGACATTTCTGATAGGAGAAACATTTCGGGAAGAAGTAATAAACTCTATTTCGTGTGACTCACCTCACTACCCCCATTTTATCTTAATCCATATTTATCACTAGCTTAAACTTCTTGGCATATCTTTGCTGGAGTTGTTGAGTTGTAGAGAAAAGGAACTTGTTAAAAGTTTTCCTTTATTTTCCCCCAAAGGAAAATTTATGAATAAAAAAATTCAAGTCCTGTTTCAGCAATGTCAGCTCAACATCTCTTACCCTAATCAGGCCCAAACCAGTTACCGTACTTCGAAAGCAAACTGCTGCAGGGCAGCAACATTCTGCCTCAAACTCCAAGTCCATCAACATTCATACCAGTATTCTCAGAAGTGTAAGAAAGTCAATTAAACAGATGAAACAGAAGGTTTCATTTATATATTATCAGGAAAACAATGTTTCAGAGCAGCTTTTTTTTTTTTTTCCACCTGAAGAAGTGTAAAATATATGTCTGTAACAAATACTGCTTTCACAATATTTTGTGCAGCTCTACCTTGCTCTTTACTTTTAACTTATTGTTTATAGGATGTCATTTGATTCAATTATGGTGGCTTCTGGAGGCCTTCTTCAGCTGAAATCTCCTGGTAGCTCTCTTCTGAGTGACAGGTTCCTGCTCATTAGGGATTGATGGTTGGAGTTTTTTGTTGTTTTGGTTTTCGTTATTTTTGTGTGTGGTGGTGGATTTTTTGGTGTTTGGTTTTGTTTGTTTGTTTGTTTTTTGTTTTTTTAGTTGTTTGATTTGTTTTTTGGGGGCTGAGGAGGAGGTGCTGTTTGGGTGCTGAGTGAAGGCAGAAACTTTCATCCAGTCAGTGTGAGACTGTGCTCACCAACAATCATGAGCTGCTGGGCCTGACCTCTGCCACCGAAAGAGAAAGTACATATCCTTGGCATAGTAGTGTCAGTCTAGACCTGGGTTGGGCAGGGCGATGTTGTATCCACAATCTGAGTTGGTGTCTCTTGGTGAGGCTCTGTGTAGTGATTTAGATGTTGCATTATTGCATAAAAGACTTGTAGGAGGTGTGGAGACTGTATGTCAGTAAGGAGGGCAAATGAGGTATCAGCAGGGTCTCTCTAGAAGCAAAAGCCTGACTTGTGAGATTGAGGTGATGTCTAGGGGCTGGACTGGGTGGAGTGTTGGAAGAATTCTCCCCTGAGCTTGTTAAAGTTCATAACTTCTGGCAGCAGGAGAAATGTTCCACCATTGCTGCTCAGACCTGGATGTAGAGAGTTGGTATTGAGGCCCAATAGCCATGGGAGGGGAACAGAGGATGTAAAGGGAGGCTTCCAAGCTAACTGGCCCCATATGAAGCATCAACGCTAAAGAGAAACAGTAAGTGTTAGAAGCTGGAGGTCCTCTCCTGTAGGGGACAGAGACACCTGTCTGTGTACCAGATATGCTGTCGTGGGAGGTTTGCTGCTTGACAAGTGACCAGACTGTGGGTATTGTAGAAGCATGGCCGAAACTCATCCTGTCCAATGACCATTACCTCCTTGTTTGCTCATTGGTGTGAATATCAATTATGCTACTGAGGGAGACCTGGAGCAAAATAAGAGTAACTACAGGATTCTGGCAAAGGACGTAGGAACCCACAGGATATCTCCTTCATCCTCAATTGGAAGAGGTCAAGTAGGAGAAGATCAATCCTGGGTATTAACCGCTGATAATGTGGCCGCTGCTAAAGGTAGTGCTTCAACTTCCATCATTGTGGGTCAGTCTTGGAGGAAAAAGGAAGTACAGAAGCCATTTAACAAAGTGGAATAACAGTATCTCTGCCAACAGATTTGCAAATCAGGTAAGGAGAGATTTGAGCTTGGTATCTCGGAGAACAGTGATAACAGCTTACAGTAAGTAAGTAATGTGGCTCTATACTTGGTTGTCCAGTGATAGTAGATACAGACAGAGCTGGAGTTCTTGAGTTCACTTCCAACATAAAAGATTCTAAGACCATATTTGAGCATGTTAACTAACTCCCTGGATATGGATGTTCTGGATGGATATGATGTTCTGAAGTTTTGGGCAATACTGATGTATTCATCAGGTTTGAAAATCATCTGTCTTCCTGTGAAGAGATGAAATAGGTCTCCAAAAGCAACCTAATTACTACAGGGACGAGTGGTTCAGTCAGTTATTGGATGCATATATGTTCTGCCTTAGAACTATCATGCCAAGTGTTTCAAAACTTTGATTCCATGAATGTGTGAGGACTCAACTTTATAGATCCAGAATCCTCCCATATTGAATTCAACAACTGCCTGCCACTATGGAATGAAGTGGTCCTGAGATGGCACACTCTGGGATTGTAAAAGTTTTGGAGAGGTATATTCCAGGTAGAACAGTAACAGAAATGTTTATTCAAAAAATAACAAAGATACAAATAAAAATATTGTTGTAGGTTTACCTTAACCAATGATTTACTCTGCAATTTCCTTTTCTGCCTATATTTGTCTTTAGTTGTATCCAATTACTCTGCTTCCTCTGATTCCTCCTCATCTTCTAAACCAGCAGTTCCTGTACAGGCAAAGTTTAAAAAAAAATAAACAGAAAACTGAAATGTGTTTTATAATAAAATACTGGAAAGCAATTCTAGTAGCTTAAAACATAATTCCAGAATCACTCTGTCTACCCCAGTCCTCCTTCCTACTGGCCTTTGCTGCCAATTTTTGAAATTAACTGACATAAATTGTTTCTTAGCTGTCAGACAGATTCTGTACACACACACTGACTGCCAGCCAGTCCATATGTAACTCAGAATAGCTCAAGAACATCTCCTATTTAGAGGATTTTCATAGAAAGCTGCCCTTGAAAAAATACTACTACTACTAATAAAAAAACAATGAGGATATCAGATCTACTTTACTGTAGTAGGCCAGAAGATCTGTTAGAATCAAGTTCAATAAAAAATCATTTGAGTCCAGCAGACTTTGAGACAAATCAAGCTCAATGAACTCTTGCCAGATCCAAAGCAGAGCTACACAGGAACCCTGCTTTGATTTCTGCTGGATCAGCTGAGGGATCCTATAAGATGTCAGTCCTATACACCTGATCATCTTGTTGGCTAGTCTGTACTGAAGCAAGAGATTACATTCAGAGGTGATGAGTGAAAAATGAGATCAAATAAATTAACAGAATTCCAAGACCTGTCCTTAATGTTTATGTTGTACCTCTATGCAATTTTCAAGGTTCTTTTACAGTCTTTCTGATCACTATAGATAGTGCTTTGCTCTGATTTATTATAAAATGTGTTGACTACAGATGGAGAAATTTATCTAATGTTTTTCTACATCAGAAGTTTGTAAATGTTAACATTTAACAAATGAAAAAAACACAGTTGAATGGAGGCTTATAAGTTATGTATGGGTAAACACAGATGCTTCCTTTCATGTTGCCTTTTTGTAATTTTTTATAAAAACAGGATTCCAAACTGCCTGGAGGAAAACCTGAGCATCCAAATTTCAAAGCTCTTTGCCTTTTAAGAACAATCAATGAGATACTAGCCTTTGTGTCTCCAAATCATAATGTGTAACAATACCTAAGACTTATTTCTTATTTAACTTGGGAGGACAAGAACATACAGTTCTACTCATGATAGAAAAATCATGTTCTCAAAAATACCTGAATTCCCCAGTCTACTCTCATGTTTTTTACAAAAGGAAGCTTGCAAATGTGATCACTTTTAGACTCAGCTCTTCAAGTACTGTCAGCTCTGTATTGCACAGGTAGTGCTGCAATGCAGTATCACTGATTTGTACTCTTTTATCACTGTACATTTATATCACTGTTAAATATATGAATTTGACTACTCAAAACCAGTTTACAGCTTTAGAGGAGCTCTATCCTGTGACAAAAGGTAGAGTTCCCATGTTTTCTTTAGCCTGAGAATGGGCCTCCCAGCAGCAGCCAATTGACATGCATCGTTTCCAAACCTGATTGAGCAAGGAAGAAGAAGCACATCTCCATCATTCCTCACCTTGGTACTCTTCTCCTTCTTCATTTTCTTCTTCCCTTATTTCCTCATCTTCTACTTCTGCATCCTTTGCTGGGCTGAAAACTTCACTGGATACTTTATGAAGAGAAGGCATATCATCCCTGTGTTCAGCAGATTCATCAATGACTGAAATATGAGAAATTAGAAATTTTGAGGAAAATTTATTTTTACAAATTTGCACTCAATCATTGTTTTCATGCCACAATTAATAACTGACTGAACTCTTCAGACTTTACTCACATGAGAAAACCAATACATATTTTTGCAACAATTTATAATCAAGTTTGTGTAAGAGGTGATGACATAGACTAAAACGATTCACAGACTTCCCAAGATAGTTGTACCTCACCTATGTGAGATAGAAAAGATGCATATATATACTGTCACATTTACAGATAGGCCTAGAAATCCCCAGTATTAAGTGTAGAGTAAAAAATGTGAGAGAAAAAAAAATCCCTCTCACAGTAATTAAATTTGAAAAACAGGGTTTCACAGGATAGTCAAAACACAGGGTTTCTAGATGTCCAACAGAACAAACCTGGGTTTGTTTGCATTTTGTCTTTTTCGTCTGCTGATGTTTCTTCCACTGCTTCATCTGCTGCTGCTGTCTCTCCTGCTGCTACTGGGGGGCCTTCACTGGGAGAAGGTGCTTTTTCCACGTTGGGCATCCAGTATATTAATTTAGTGATTTCTGTTGCTTTCCACTTAGGTGCAGCAAGTAAAGAGGGCTCCTCCTGTTCTTCTTCCTCCCCTTTATCCTAAAAGACAATCCTCAACATCCAAGGTCTCTTCTTACAAGTATTAAAGGAGTAGTTAAGATGATTTTGTACATTAAAAGCTCTTTACCTGGGCTCAAATGGCAACATGACAGTCTTTTAAAGCACTGACAAAAGGAGGAAATTCAACAGCAAATCTTGCAAGAAAACTATGCTTTGAACCTTGTTGAAGCTGGCTGACCAATACTGATGATCTATGCTTGCCAGTTTTCTTTCTTAAAGATAAAATTTTGTCTCTCCCTCGAACAGAATAGCTGAGAGGGACCTATTCAAGCATGGTTTCTCTCAAAGGAATATTGTTCTGTTTTTTAAGATAATAGCCAAATACCACTGATAAAAAATTACAGATCCATTGTAGAGAGCCAGAAAAATAAAAAAGAAAATTTTGGAAAAGGTAAAATGTATGTAGTAGAAGAAAGTTGAAAGTTAGTGAAATCATATCATGAAACAAATATTGTAGCAGAGAATTTTTAAAGAGCATGTAATGGGAATTAATATGCTGGACATCAGAGGTATAAAGCTCAGGTATAATGTGTAATATTTTCTTGGAAACAGAATATGAAGATACATTTCTTATTGTGATATCTATTTTGTATCATATTAATCAGAAAGACTTAGAAAAGTTCATGAGTGAAGGAGAATTAAGAACGAACCCTCATCCCAGCTGCTTCTACAATTAGTTGCTATGAAAATTAAGCTTCTTACAGGACCAGGAAAACGATGGACATGTTTCCAAAACAAGAACCTTTTGCAAATCACCTTTTGCAGATGTAGCATCAAGCAATTCAGAAATACAATAATAAATATTTTCTTTGTTTTCTGGTGTTCAGAACAAAGTGGAACACCAATTTACAGACAAATATCTATGTTCGTGTAGTTTAAAATCACATAAACCTAAAATATTTTGGGCAAGTCCTGATTCTTCTGAAGTTTAAGAAGAAAGCAGACAGATTGCTGTCTGCAAGCAGGGCAAAAATCATATCATATAGTTGTCTAAGCTTACACAGTGGAGAAGATAAATTTAAGAAGCAGAATGAAACCTTATTTAGTATTGAAGAAACCACAAGTTTGCACCCTTTTTTGACTGGATAGATCTAGGATACCCTATATGTACTGATGTTAAAGTATTTTATATGATAATCAACAGTAGTTACTGAATTATTTGATATGCAGTACACCATTACATATTTTTTTTTACCTCCTCTGACTGTATGTATTCACCATGCTGTTCACATCCAATGTCAAAGATATATTTGCCACGACCGACAGGCTGCACAAAGAGATGCAAAGAAATCAGTAGAACTATAAAATTAAGAAATTCTACACGTGTGAATATAAAATGGGCTTTACTACAAAATTCATACATTAGTCAATAACAATACTGTACTACAGAGACACGGACATGAAGGTGTAAGTCCAACAGAGGGCCACAAAGATGAACAAGGGATGGAAGCACTTTGCCTGTGAGAAGTGGCTGAGAGAGCTGAGGGACTGTTCAGCCTGAGGAAGAGGAAGCTCAGGGGGAATCCCATCAGTGTCCATAACTATCTGAAGGGAGGATGCAAAGAGGATGGAGTAATGTTCTTTTCAGTGGTGCACAGTGCCAGAACAAGAGTCAATGTGTACAAAATTGAACACAACAGGTTCCATTGGAACACCAGGAAGCACTTCTGTGCTGTGAAGGTAATAGAGCATTGACAGAGGTTGCCAGAAAGGCTGTAAAATCTCCCTTGTTGGAGATCTTCAAAATGTGCCTGGACACAGTTCTGGGCAACCTACTCTGGGTGTCCCAGTTTGATGAGGGGGTTGGAGTAGAAGATCTCTACGGATCTCTTCCAACCATTCTGTGATTCTGTAATACTGTTTGAAAGCAAAGTTACAGACACTTGGCTTTCTGCCTTGCAGATCAATTCAGTTTCACCTGCTACATTGATGGTACAAGAAATACTACACAAGAACAGGATCTAGCTTGTCATTTTAAGTGCAAATAAATCATATTAAGAAAGTTTTATGCTAATTGTTCAAATTAATTGAGCATTTTCTAGCACACTTACAATTCCATCCAAAAACTTGCCCCTATATCTGTGATTTAGGTGGATAAGCTCTGCTTCTCCTTCCTGTATTCCATTTACCCAACCACCAACATACATAGATCCAGTCTCTTTATAGATGTATGTACCTTGTCCATGCCTAGGGAGAAGAAAAATTGTTTTATTTTATGGAATATGAAGAACATAGGATGTTGTTATACTTAAGGTATTACAACTGTATTTTTTAAGTGGCTGAAGTGGCTGAATTTGGGCTAACTTGTAAATGCCATCCAGTAGCACTTGATTAGCTGCAGTCAGCCACACTTTGAAATAGCCATCATATTGTGATGCTGCAGAGGATGACTTCAACCATCATCATAAGAATGAAACAAACCTATTGTCGTTAAACCATTCTCCAGCATAGGTGTCTCCATTTGCGTACGTATATTCTCCATAGCCATGTCTCCGATCATCTACCCAGCTTCCTTTAATGAGAACATACCAACAACTTAGTGGGATGTAGTATATTTAATTGTGTGATATAATGGTCAGTTTGTAAAATCATCATTCATTAATGTAGCTGAGTGGAGAATACACGTCATTAGAGAAGGAAAAGAAAACTACAACACCATTATGACTGACTTCGAAAGCAAACAAATTCTGCTCTCTCCTACTGAACACAAGAAATCTCAAGTGAATGGGAAACATTTGTCAATTAAACTCTAAGCATATCTGATTTGCCTATCAGGGTTTAAGTGTGTCACTGTTATTATCAACACAGATTATACCAAAGAAGTACTGAAGTACTCTGGCAAAGAAAAGGATGATTTATTATACATCTGACAAATGGATGAGAACTCTGACAGCCATCATTAGATGCAACAGGGCGGATAGCAGTTCCATATGCAAGGCTATCCAATAACTTTCCACTTTCTGATCTGAGTATAATTGTATGAACGAATTCTACGTTAGAGGCAAAGAAAGTGCTAATGTTCTCACTTGAGATGGTTTTCTTCCTCTGTTCAGATACTATCTTCTTTGCTCTTTGTTACCAAGGAAAGGCTTCCCCATACACAGAATTTCCAAGTTCTGTTATCTGTGTTTGCAAGTTTCCTACTTAATCACCTCCACTGCCTTTTTTTTTTTTCCCTCATTTGTTACTTCTTAAGCAACAGTTATAAAATCAATACAAAGAAGACAGTATGAAAACAGAGGACCATAGTATTTGTCATGTCAACTATACTAGTTCTGGCTTGAGACATATCCTGTTATATACTGTTTCCTTTTAATTCCCATCTGTAGGTTTCAGCTGACATGCTATCACAAACAGGAGTTCCTCATTTCTCTCTCTAGAACAATTTTGAGATCACTTTGAAAAAGACAGTCATATGGGTAACTATACTCAAAGGTGGACATAATCTTTCTCCCTAGTTCCCTGCCACCTCATTCTGGGCCTCTCTGACTGTTTTCTTGATCAAACCCTTCTTTATTGTAAGCCCTTGCTCTTTTTTTTTTTTTTTTTCCCTCTGTCTGTCCCTCTCCTCACATATTTTTTCAGCTACCTGCGTGTGACACCTCCACTTAAAATCAAAATGAGTTCTTGTTTAGTTTAGCTAATTCGCTGAAACTGTCCTTTCAGCCAGCATGCTTATAAATGCAAAAGAATGCTAGATTTTGTGCCTTAATTACTACTCTATTCAAACTTAAAATAATAAAAATACATTACAGATGAATATTATCCAAAAAGCAATAACTGAGCTGCTCTTTTTGCTCTGTGCTTCTAGCTCTTACAGTGTGAAGGCTCCTTCTTGCCTTCTTTAAAGGACAAAAACTGTTCCTTGAAGACTAACTGATATTTGAAGAGTTTTAGGTATTCTTCTGGAAGAAGGGAAATAGAATGAGAGACAGACACTTCAATAGGGTCTGTTGTGACAGGATGAGGGTAAATTGTTTCAAACTACAAAATAGATTTAAACTGCATATAAGGAAGACATTTTTTACAATGAGGCACTGGAACAGTCTGCCTAGAGAGGTGCTGGATGCCTCATCCCTGGACACATTCAGTGTTAGGCTGGACAGGGCTCTGAGCAACCTGATGTAGCTGTAGGTATCCCTTTTTATTGCAGGGGACTAAATGACCTTTAGGGGACCCTTCCATCTCAAATAATTATATGATTCTATACTGAACAAAGCAATTCTAATCATCATGAAGATGATTAGATATAAGCAATTATACTCTCTTCTATCAAGATTGTACCAGATTAGACACAATGCTTGGCATTTCTCAGCACCTGTAATACCTCACTTGAAATAAGGACACGTCTAGAACAAATTGCTAATAAATACCACACTTCTCACAATATTCCAAGTAAATCCCCTAACTAACTAAATAAATAAAGCTGCTCTCAGAGCTCCTGGTAAAAAAGGAATAACAGGAAAATGTTTTATAGCAAATTTATCTTTTTAAAATAATCTTCACTTTGCTATCTTCTTGCATTCTAGGAGTTGGAGAAACATGTCTTTTTAATTACAGAAATCTTTGCAACTGTGTTCAGTATTTACCTTCATATTTTGATCCATCTGGATAATAAAAAGTACCATGGCCATGCTTTTTATTTTGAAGATATTCTCCAATGTAGTAAGCACCGGTTTTAAATCTGTAGGTCCCCTGAAAGATATTTGGTATAGATAAAAGACTTGTCAGTTCTCACTATTTCAGTACAGTGCTGAGACTCACAGAACCGCAGAAACACAAGCACACAGCCACTGTCTGGTCACTGTCTCACCTGCCCGTTTCTGAGACTGTGCTCATATTCACCCTCGTACGTATCACCATTGGGCAGCACTGCTTTCCCACGTCCATGCCGTTCACCTTCAGAATTGCGCTCACCTTCATACTCCTAATCGAATGCAATTAGAAAAATCATTTAAGAGCGATAGACCTGCTTGAATCCAACCTAATTAGAGGAAGCCATGTTTGCTTAGAGGTGCTCCAGATTTGCTCCAAACAGAGCACGCAGGAGGGCTCTGCAGAAGCTCTCCCCTCAGATCCCAGCACACTGAGCCCTTCCTCCCTTCTTGACTCAGTGGTGGGAAGAGTGGATGACTTGCGAAGAAAATAGGTTCCAGCCAAAACAGCTCAGCGCCCCGCTCTGCATCTACCATACCCACTGATATAGCACTCTGTGATCTCCCCATGGGGCCTACAGTATCAAAGCCCCCATAAGCAGTAACGTCTCTCTTCCCTTCCCCTCCCTGCCCCGAGGCCCCGCTCCCCGCCGAACCCCCAGGTAAGCCTCGGCCTCCTCCTCGGCCTCCTCGTCGCTCAGGTCCGACATGCTGCTGCCACCGCGTCGCAGCCGTCGCGATGGCAACCGGGCACGCGCCTTGTGTTACCGTTATGGCCGGCGGGGGCGCGCCTGCTGTCCCGGGTGCTGAGGGCACGGCCCCGCCCTGCAGCAATACTAGCTGCATGGAAGAGACTTATTCAGCATTTTACACGTCCCATTTTCATAACATCAGAAAATCAGAGAACAGGAAGATCAGAGAATAACAGAATCACAGAACGGTTTGGGTCGGAGGGGACCTCAAAGCCTACCCACCCCAACCCCTGTCGTGAGCAGGGCTGCCCCCCACCAGCTCAGGCTGCCCAGGGCCCCATCCAACCTGGCCTTGAGCGCCTCCAGGGATGGGGCACCACAGCTTCTCTGGGCAGCTGTGCCAGCGCCTCACCACCCTCTGGGGAAAGATTTCCCCCGGCATCTAATCTGAATCGTCCCATCTAAGTTTAAAGACACTCTCCCTTGACCCATCACTGTCTACTAGTGTAAAAAGTCACTCCCTCTTCTGCTTAAATGTTCCCTCCAAGTACTGGAACACTGCAATGAAGTCTCCCTGGAGCTCTCTCTTCTCCAGGCTGCTCAAGCGCAGTTCGCTCAGCCTGTCTCCACAGGAGGGGTGCTCCAACCCTCTGGTCAGATTTGTGCTCTCCTCTGGACTCTCTCCAACAGCTCCACATTCTTCTTGTTCTGGGGTCCCAGGCCTGGACACAGTATCCATATGGGGCCTAATGAGGGCAGAGCAGAGGAAGACAATCCCCTCTTTCTCCCTGCTGGCCACTCCTCTTGTGATGCAGCCCAGTGTACCACTGGATGTCCAGGCTGCAAGAACATGCTTCTGGCTCATGTTACGTTTTTCATCCACCAGCACCCCTAAGTCTCTTTCAGCAGGGTTGATCTCAAGGAATTATTGTCCCAGTGTGTACACACATCTTGCATTGCCCAGACCCAGCTGCAACATCTTGCACTTGGCCTTGCTGGACTTCATTAGGTTCACATGGGCCCACCTTTTGAGTGTATCAAGGTCCTTTTGAATGCCACCCCTTCCTTCTATTGTATCAAATGCACCATTCAGCGTGGTGTTGTCCACAAACTTGCTGAAAGTACACTAAATCCCTCTGTCTACATCACTGATAAAGAATTCTGGTCCCAGGACACTACTGGTACACCTTGGTGACACTACTCATTACCAACTCCACTTGGACTTTTCACTATGTTTCGTATGTGAGCTGCGGTATGCTAGATGAATCATTCTCATAAATTTATTTTATTTACCTCAGTGCAAAGCAATCCTTTGTTATTCTTTAGGTAAACACTCTAGAAACCTTCCCTGGCTAAGGAAGTTACTAGTCATTAAAGGAGTTACTGGTCACTAAGGGAGTTACTGGTCACTTTGCCATAGCTCATGCCTGCTTGCAGATGTTGTGGGCAGGTTGCCTTGCTAAAAGCAAGGAGTACTTTGCTTCTCTGTGGCAGCACTTATGCCTGCTTCATAGTGCTTACAGGCAAAGACTAGGGGGCTGCCAGTCCTGCTTGAGCAGGGAGTGGACCAAAGGATCTCCAGAGCTCCCTTCTCACCACAGTCACCATGTGATGGTGTGGGGCAGCATACTGCCTTGCTGTCACATTGTGTCATAACTTAATGGCTGAGTTTTCACAAGAGGAGTCATGTGAGGTTATGTGGGGTGAAAAGCAGCAAACTAAGTGCTGGGAAGTGGTGGTGAGGTGACTGGAGCAGGCAGCAAAAAGAGGGATAACTGGTTGGAAAGTGTGGCGGAGGTCACCTTGTCATCTAGGTCAAAGTTCCACCCAAACCAGGAGGAAAACAGGATCTCTGTACAAAGATAAGCCACGTGTACTGGTCATTTTGTTGTTCTTATAAGTAGAAATTGAAAGAGCCAGTTCCGAGTTGTGTCACATTTTAGCATGCATCTCTTTGTTTGTCATTTTTGTAAAGATGAAAAAGGAAGAGACCTATTGTTAAATACATCCTGTTCTTAGCTAATAGGAACCCCTCGGGCTCCTCAGTTAGCACTCAGTCACTACTTTGAGAGCGCTCTCTGTCTGCAATATTTAAGAATGCTGAAGTCACATTTTGTTAGCTGGCAGAGCATTACACAGCTACACATTTATTAACTCAAAACTATGTGGTTATTTCTCTTTCATGCAGAGCGCCAGCATTTGACAAGGGAAGTCTGATTTGCATAATGGCTGCCCTGTTAATAAGTAGCTGCAGAGTATGCAAACTACTGCTACAACTGCTTGCTTCCTGCAGAATTTGATCTGAGTACACTTCTTCAAAGCATCAGCATTTCCTCTTTTATCACTCTTGATGATGCTTACCTCTCTTCTTTCAACTAAGGTAGGCTAGATGCCTTTATCTACAATAGGGTGATGTCTCTAACTATAAAAACACTTACTAAGACTATGAGTGGCACATTAATTGTAAGCAGACACCATGGCTCAGAGCAGTAAGGGAGAGTATTTTGGGCATGTATACAGAGGTGATCCCAGTTCAGCTCAATGACAAAAATAACCGGATGTTTTAGCTTCAAAGTTCACGTGGCCAAGGGGACAGCTGGAACAGACACAGAAACAAATCACAAGCTATCACATATATCCCCTTCATTATTGCTAACTTCTTGCTGGGTAGCTTGTTTCAAAGTCCTGAAGGAGGAAAGGGTCTGAGGGAGGAACAGCTCACTTTGCTTGGAGAGCAGCCAAGAACTTCCTTTATAATATTTAAATTTACTTTGAACTTCAAAATGGCAGGTATCGTGAGTATCTGTAAGTCAGAATCTCTAAGTTTGACCTCAGTTAAATGTGTGGTGCATGCTTTTAAATTTTCTATAGCTAGAAGATGTCCTGTGAGGATAAGATCATGTCTTTTGAGAGGTATGTAAAGAACAGAAATTAAACTATGGGGAAATATTTCATTATTTCATTAGAAAAAAAATTTATTAGTATCTTTTTCTTTATGCAAGCAAAAGACAGGCTGATATGCTGCATGGTCAGGACCACATACTAGCAAAATTTAACTGGAGCTGTCAGAAAGATCAGTTATCTTCCTCCTGAAACTGAAATATAAAGCAGGTTGTCTTCAGAGTAAAATTATGGGATTAAAGAATTAAAATAATATTTAACAGGAAGTTCTTGTTTTGGAATATACCATTCAGGTCTTTTTATTATTCTGCTGTAAATGCTATCAGACACTTAAAGGATTCAAAATAGTCTTAGCAGAATGTTTTCTTAGGTTCTGGAAGCAAAGGATGAATGAAATGGAATTTACTGTGGGGTTTGTTTCCCCTCCAATTCAGAATGAAGCCAGATTTTGAAATGTCAAAATCTTTCGCAGAATGGCAACTCCTCTCTGCACATCTGTTTTAAGCACTTTACAGGTAAAATAAAAGCTGCTTAGTCTGTTTGCATGCCAAGTAAAGACAACCTCTTTTTGAGCTCATAAGGAAGCCAGAAAAACAAATGAATGACTTTCCTAGCCACCCTGCTAGGCCACCACAACTTCCACCTTCAACTGCGATTAATATCAGGATGCTCTGAAAGCCAGATGATTAGGAAAGAAACGGTTGTAGGAAAGCTGTTCTGGAAATACTGGCTGAGCTTCTTTTAGTCTTGGCTAAAATTAACCCTTCAGTTTTCTCCTGCAAAGTGGCCGAGGAAGAATGTTGTATTGTATTTATACTTTGCCTTCCATTCCTCTGACCTTACTTCTAATTTTGAAGCACAGAGCACAATGGGAAAATTTCAAAGCCTTTTTTTCGGGTTTTTATTTCTACTAAAGTGCAATTGGAACATATATATGTCACTGCTATTCCATGTAGGAATCACTGCTAATGTCTTTCCCCAAGGCTTTTATGACAGTCAGCACTACCATTGTTACAAAGAAAGCAGTTAGCATTCATAAAGTAAAAAATATCTTAGGGCCAGTGTTAACAAAGCAGTGTCAATATTATTGTTTTGTTTTGTTTTGTTTTCCTGCAAGTGGATTTTGTTTATTTAAGGACATAAACAAACAAACCAAACCAACCAAGCAAACAAATAATACTTCCAAACCTTAGCTTCTCTCTTTATGTGCAGTTTATAATGACATAAAGATAAAGCAGCACAATCCTTTTCTTTTTTTCTTTTTTTTCCCATAACATCTGAAGTTCTAATCTGGCAACTCAGAATGAATTCAACAGAGAAGAATGAAATGATTGAGGTAGATGGGACTACTTTGCTGTCTTCTCATTCCCATCAGCTCACATAACTTCATACCTCACGTCCTTACTCATGACTAGCAAGGCAGTTGCTTTAGTGTAGGCTCCCTGTTCTGGCATGCTTTCTATTTGTAACTGTTCTGGTATTTCGTTTCTATTTAAAAAAGCCACAGCACTCCCTCCTCATATGATTGCTTTTCGGCAACCTGTAGCATGGAGAAATGAAACCCCTCGGTAGCCTATCTACCTGGTTTAATCTGCCTGCTCCTCTGAAATTGTTTCTGTAGCCATGTCTTGCACTTCTACCCAACCTCCTGATCAACTAAAGAAGAGTACAAATAAAATTAAAGTAATAAAATAAACTATGTTTTCTCCTTGTGGAAGTAGAATAAATTCTTCAAGATAAGATCCTCATAATAAATATTCTTCTTTTGTCTTGTTAGGTTGGCTATATCTTGCGTTATAGATTCCATTTTTAATAATACTACTTGATACATATTTTTAAATTCTGTATTGTCTGCATTCTTGATCATTCTTCCGTGAGTAAGTGGCTAAAGTATAATATAGCTTGTCTGGATCCCTCACCAGGGATTCTCCATCCTAATTAGAGGGTCAGTGATCCTTACAAGCAGTAGCTTTGCCTGGGACTGCATCCAGTAGGTTCTACCGCAATAGACACCCTTGTTGCTATGCTTGTTTTTTTTTTTTTTCACAGGTCTTTCCTCAGAGAACATGAGGTGATGTCAGAGTTTCACTCCTCATCCCTCTGGAAAGCCCTCACAA